GCCTCGTTTTTTATTTTATTGTTATAGTGTGTGTATAATGGAGGCATGTATGTGCCACGGCACATGAGGCCAGAGGACAATTTTGTCTAGTTGGTTCTTTCCTTCCACCCTTACATGGGTTCCAGGGATCAAACTCTGGTCTTCAGGCTTGTGTGGCAAGTACCCTTACCGACTGAGCACTGAGCCATGTCCAAATGTGTATGTTTAAGTTAGGTAACTGAACACTCCTAAGGGATATATTGATGTACATATTGTCCATTTTCAATAACACAAAACTGACACCATATGTGCAATTAACTTTTTCTTTTTGGTCTTTTTGAGACAGAGTCTCCCTGTAGTCCCAGCTGACCTGGAACTCACTATGTAGACCAGGCTGGCCTTGAACTCACAGAGACCCGCCTGCCTCCATTTAGGTAACTGAACACTCCTAAGGGATATATTGATGTACATATTGTCCATTTTCAATAACACAAAACTGACACCATATGTGCAATTAACTTTTTCTTTTTGGTCTTTTTGAGACAGAGTCTCCCTGTAGTCCCAGCTGACCTGGAACTCACTATGTAGACCAGGCTGGCCTTGAACTCACAGAGACCCGCCTGCCTCCATTTCCCAAGTGCTGGGATTAAAGGCATGTGCCACCAGGCCTGGCCTGCACAGTTAACTTTTAAAACTTCAATTATAAAACTGAGCCAGGGTCTATGGAGTAGCCTTAGTAGGTAAGAGTTAGAATCCTCAGCACCTGCATAAAAGGCTGGGTGTGACCACAGTTGCACTGTAAACCTAGCGCTTTATAAGGGAGAGACAGGAAGTGCTGGGGCTTGCTGTCTGTCAGCCTAGCTCTGGGTTTCATGACAGACCCTGTCTCAAAGGAATGAAGTGAAGTGTGATAAAGCAGGACACCCAATGTTCCCTGGTCTCTGTAAATACACGGATGTGTGTACCTGTACACACAGTGTACACATGCATACACCACATATCATCTCACAATAAAATAAAAACTAACCAAATGTGAGAGGCAAAGTACATATTTAAATGGAGCTGTCAAGGCATCTGTCCTAGGTCAAGCTCTAAATTACAGTGTAAATTCATTGTTCCAAATATTGTCCTCAGTTCCCCTGGCCTTCCGTGTGAACAGCCCATCCTGTTGAGAGTGATTTCAAAGGTTAAGGACACATACTATTCGAGGCACATGGCACCTAATCATAAAGACTATTAAAACTGTTTTCCAGAAGAGGTACAATTGTCACCTCATTCAACATGAGAAAAAGGATTTTTCTTGCTGAAAGACACAGTTTTCCAAGGTGGCTAAGGAATTTTCCAGAATATTTTTGACTGTCTCTGATTTTTACCATAACCACTTTAGAATCCACTTCATTTCCCCTCTTCACATGCATGTAAGATGTTTAGGTCTAGTGCTGAACTAGAGTATTTAGATTCCTAGAGAAGTATTAAGCAGAGTACCCTTGCTTGTAGAAGACTTTCAGGTCTGGCATTT